TTAGCCCTCCTATGATCTCTTCCTGTTCTCAGGTTCATGGTCTGCTTCACAGTATAGCAGAGCTATAGGTATATTAATCGCATATACATATGGTCATTTCACCACTTAATGTCTCAAATTATTTTAGGTACGAATATAATGTCACCGCATATACAGACAGTATATAATATAACTTATTTTTATGTGGTATTTCGGTAAGTAAACTATACATCCAAAACTTTTTGGAAAGAAGCTGCAGACCATAATTGGACATGTAAGCCTAATTTCTGCCATATGGCCAATATTTTATTAGGTAAATTGTTTTTGAAAGTTGATGAAATCTGATTTTTGTTTCATGTAATATAGGGTTTATTTTGTACCCGTAATGGGCTGAAATGAAATTCGCCGAAAATCTTGTATAACATATTTTGAAAAGCATTTTTAATGTGTGGACTTGTGGGTTTTTTTCCACTTTGTAGTCTGTGTGCTTCGTCATAGTAAAGCGGTGCTTTTGTAGGATTTCAAACAAACGATTCCTTTGTTTGGGCGGTCAAATGTGTGCCAGCCTTATTCCACGCGAAGACCGGTATCACACAACTCTTTTCATTATGATTTTTGTTCAGACAAACTTCCATTTGTTAATACGTATCCATGGTAACGTATAATTTCTATTGTTTAAAAGCTACATGTAGTTAGGCTTTATCTGCTTACAGATGACTGGATAGGTTTCTTCCACTGATCATTTCAGACACCAAGTAGACTAGAAGTCCCATTGTTTCACCGAGATATCTCGTACGTAGCGTGGAAAGCGTTAAAACCTGCAATTTCATTTGGGGTGTGAAGTGCACCCAGCTCTCCCTGTTTCCCCCCTCCCAATTAATCTCGCCTACATAACTTTTCTCCCTGTTCTCCATCTTCCCTCTTCTACCGGAGTGAATGCTGATTCATGCAGACGTTCGCCTTCCACTGGGGCTCTAATAAACTGCATCGTTGCTGGCAGCTGAAGTGACCCATTTCAATATAATTTTGTCATATTAAAATTAAGGCTTCAGGTTTGAGTAGATACTCCTTGTATGCGTCAGAAATAAATTTGTACCCAGTCTGCCCTTCTCATTTCGTGACGTTCGCTTTATCATCCCGTTTTGAGAAAGGTATGACAACGAATCGGTTCTGAAAATCATTACGTAATCAGTATGTCGAGATAATTGCATGTTGGTGAGCTACGCAATTTGTACCCTTCATTTAATGTTTTCAGGTTGATGGGAGAAAGCTAGGAAGGATATAAAATAGTAGAAGGACAGAGGAGAGTTATGGGGAAGAGACGAAAGAAAGTTTATTTAAGGGGGGAAGCATCATATTGTTAGAACGTTCCCAGACAGTGCCTGCCCTTCGTTCTGATAAAGGCAGAATAAAAGATAAGACATTAGGGTTATAAGTAGCGACTACATGAGACAGACTTTTAAGACGTTACTCAAGAATGTTGAGAATATAATTTAGGAAGTTATGTAATTTAATGGTCTGCACAGCAAGGGGGTAAATTTTGATTAATTTAAATCCGTAGACAAATTGGAACTTTGGAACCATCTCAGCATTTCTTGCAGCGGAAAATCCGTGATTTTCCTTTGCCTTTAAAATGGCCGGATGCATACTGGAAATTAGCCAGCAGTCCGGCAAACAGAAGAATGTAGTAGCTCCTTAGATCTCCCTAGCACGATTGTAGTAGGCTTTATTATTACTTTTAGTATATTTTAGTATTGGGATTAATATTATTTAAAGATTCAATCTTTACAGCAAATAAAACACAGCGCTTCTCCACTACAAAGATAAATTGGTTAATGTTGTTTGAGGAAATAGTGGCTGTTTGTTCTGATAATCGCACGGAACACATCAATACAGCCTGCGTGGAGCGGATGGCACGTGTGGCCAACAGTGGGATTAATGGGTTAGATCAAGGAGAGTAAAACTGGAAAGACATGAGGGATACCGAATTTCGTGGCAACCTTAATACATAGCTTCTGAGGAAGGACGCGTCTGCCTTCATTGGGCCATAATCTGTGTTCCAGAACCTTCCTGGAAGATCTTGTGCTGCTGTCGAAATTTGCCGTGGATGATCTATGAATTCAAACCCGCCAGTTTAAAATAGAAACATAAATTACAATGTGCAGTATCTGGGTCTGCGAGGTTGGCGACTCTTGACCTAAAGCCAACAGCGACCTTTTGGTTGTGACTGTCAGTCCTTATTGAATGAGCGTCGAGGTGGTAAAATGTTGTTCATCATAATCTTAAGAAACAAACGGGACATTCTTAGAAAACGTGTCAGTTATCTCTGAGCTGCCTTACGTAGTGACAGGACAGTTCTTTGCCGGTTGTATTTATTTGATTTTGATAAACCTGTTCCAGAAATGATTTCTGTTCTCAGGTGGTAGCTTAGTCGATTCTTTCAGTTGCGACGTGTAAATGAAGGAATTCTAACTGTGATGACTTTTGCGACCCACTTCTACAAAAGACTAAGTTCTGCGACGCTCTGAGAGAAATACATCGCTGATTGAGATGGGGGGGGGGGGGTTATCGCGAATTCTCGGCAAGTCAAGTATAACTGAAACCGATATTTATTTTGGTTCGAGAGACAAATGCTCTTCAGACAATTTTCTACACTGCAGCGATTATAATTATTGTTTATTGTTTTCGGTAACACGTGTAAGGAATCGTCGTGAGACATATGGATGCATACGAATAAACTGTTATTCGTGTTCTTTGCTGGAACCCGCACAAAATTTTACCGTCCCGTGTTGGACTGAATCAAACAATTTTAACACATCCCACGCTTCTAGGAAGATAACGTGTTTACAAGCCAATATTTTAACCCTACATCTTTATTTGTATTTGACGTTGTGAATTAATTGACATTTGATATGTTCTGACAGTTCAATCTGCGGAATGTTCCAAAAATCGTGCAGTCCGAAGTTTAAAAAGTAAATATTTTGTTAATGTGATCGGGAAAAATTTTAATTTACCGTGTCCTGTGGCAACACCGGATTCGTAAGTTTAAATGTAAATATTTTGTTAATATGATAGGGAAATTTCATTTTGCCTTCTACTATGGCACTGATTTTGTCACTCAAGTTGCTGTTTTTTTTTTCCTGCTGTAAGTTGAAACGTCATGTGGTCTTCAACTGTTCATCTGTTATCTCGCGTGTTAATATAATTTATAAAAAGTTGAAACTTTTAAACTAATTTGAGTAATGTAAAACTATATAACCGCCTCTAAAGTTCTAAATTTGGTTTCCTATGTGATGGCGGAAAGTAATGATAGCTCGGAGCTAGGAATGTGCCATATTGTTCTAGAACAAATTATATAATTGTCTACAAATTGTATTAAATAAATTTAATTGTCGCAGCGACGCTAATGAAACTTCGAGATTATGTCTGGAGAACTTAACGTATACAGGTGATATGGACGGGACATGTAGAATGCACGTAGGGCACAAGATAAGTATTCAGAATTCTAGATGAAAGTGGAAGATAACATTACAAGAAGTTCTGGTGTGAACATGAAACACCTGCTTTGTGTCAGAATGTTTCAATCTTAGGTCTGTACCTCGAGGAATGAGTGAGGTTGTTTTTTTTTCGCTTTCTTGGATCACTGCGTTGGTCTTCTGTAAGGAAACGGATCCAGTACACCTTTCTAACGTTATACAACGTAGTGAGCCATTAGAAAAATGTCACGCTCTGTGTGAGAAAGACAAAGGAGAATTACTTTAAGGTTCGGATTAAAAAAAATAAAAGCAGTGCCTGTGCATACAAGGACGGATTGGTCTGTCAGCTGGAACAACGTCCGCTGCACACTAAAATGTAAACGTGGTGTTAAAAGGGAAACGAAATCCGTGGTCCTGAGAATTTAAAGTGAAAACCTGTGTAAAAAGTCCTTTAATTAAATGAAAACTGCCTAACACATAAATGGCAAATATTTGTAACCTGCCATTTTTTTTCTTTGCAGGTGAGTGCCTTAGGGGAGTTATTTGCCGCCTGTTCCAGTTTTTACACTTTTCTAAGTCTCTTGACGAGGTAAGAAATTGGCTTTTGTTTTGATTGAAATTGGGATTAAATTGACATACGCATCCACCTAGAATGTGATGCTTGTATATTCGTCTAATGTAAATAATTACCCATGTGTTAAAAGAGGATTTTTCGTTCCATTTATACTTTTTTCAATACAGATAAGTGCCTGCTTTTCACACCAGTTTTCCTTGACAGGTTATATTTATAGGTTTGTTCAGTACGTATAACCACTGTCGTGCCCTCAGAGGGATTTATACGTCCAGTAAGTGAAAACAACTGCTCTTTTTGTACTTGGCGTGTTGATTACAGAGATCCACACTCGTTACGTGACGTACTTATACGTTCTGTCAATTCAAATGACCTTGCAGGTGCTGCTTGGTGTATTCGATATCGAATTATCACCTTATGCCCTAAAAATATTTTCTTTTTCTGCTCCTTCAACTCTATTTCGAAAATTACCGATTTCGTTTACGAAGTAATTTGATAGATTATGATGATGTTTATCGTTTTTGATTGATCTAGAGTTGTATGGCGTGAATGACTTTGTTGTAATTTTTCGAGTTTTTACGATTACTTGAGCCCAAAGCTCCAGTTGTTTTGTGTGTAGACAATAGTATCGGTACTCATAGCTATTTCGAATCAAAGGCTTCTTAAGCGCTTAAATTTATTCTGACTTATCTGTCATTAATTAATTTTGTTTAGTTCAGACTTCTCGCACAATATCATTCTTGTTTTTTCCCCAAAGCTCCCCTTGTTTCCAGAAGATTATAAATAAAACAAGAGGGACTTTTATACCGATAAATGGATATAGAATAAAATTAAACTGGATATTTATATATAAATTTGGTTGATCGTAGATGATGTACTGAACTTGTCTCTTCTTGATGGATAAAGGACGAAGGGCGAAAATTTGGGTAACCGTCCTCATCGCCCCGTGCCTTACACCGGCTCAACACCAGTGCGGCTAGCTATCAGCCTGGAGTTCCCCCGATTCGAAGTTTTCATGACATTCTGGTCTTCTTAGCGGGATGTTTTGTGTATTTCGTTACTGTGTTCAGTAAAATCACGTGACGTCTCCTTAGAATAGGACACGGCCGTTTCTTCTCGCTCGCCCAATTCATCACTCAGAATCGTCAAGCGACGTCACATCCTTCGCTACGTAACCTCGGTACAGAATCGTGAAGTTAGTGAAGAACGAACCAATCAAATCCCCGAGCTTTGTGAGATTGGATTTCTCACCGTGGCTAATCGGAAGATGGCAGCACCGTGTAGTCTCCTAGAAGTTGCCCGACGTTTCAGAAGTGCGTATTTCGTCCGTCATAAGGGCGCCCTGATGATGGAAACTGTACGTGCCTCTGAAACTTCGATTAACTTCTGGGAGACTACAAGGCGCAGTATCATAGAAGGCTGTAATATTAAAATGTTGAAGCCAGCAGGCTAACTAATCAAGAAACTGACAGCAGCTCGATCGATCCATAGACTAGCCTAGACTATATAATATAATTCAGGTCTATACACAAACTTTTCTTACAGATGTTAAAATTTAAAATTTGCGCTATTCATCGTTACTACGATGTTACAATACTGCGCCTTCGTTACTACATGTTTCGATGCATAGCATCATCTTCAGGTTTTTCCTTTAAAACTACTTTATATTTCGATGCAAGTTTTCATTTATTCATCTGTTTTGTAAATTATTATAGTATGTGTTCTGTTGATCTTCTTATTTTATGCATCTTATGTTTTGTTTTCGATTATTCTGTGAATAAATTAATTAACATATGAGTTATTTATTTATATGTAAATAAGTTTGGAATATTGTTGTATATTTGTAAATTTTAACATCTGTAAGAAAAGTTTGTGTATAGACCTGAATTATATTATATATTTTTATTATAAAACACAAACATGACGCAATTAAACTATAGCCTAGACTGTTAAATACTGATTTGTTGTGACAACAAATATGTCTTCTTCTTCTTCATTCCGAACATTGATTAACATCCAAATAAGATTAAGTGTAATGTCCTGAAAGTTAAAATATTTTTGTCGGGTTAGTGTGCGGTGCGAACGAGAACAGAGCATCACGTTGTGAAACGCTTCGACTTAGTAATTTGATTTCACGCAAGACGAGTCGGTTCCGGCATGACGTAGGCACAATTTACGTCATCTGCTTGTCAGTGAAGCTCTCAGTGAAGATGGCTGACTTCTGGGTTGTTGCACTGTGTAGTCTGGTGGACGTTTACCGGTGTTTCAGAGGTGCTTGCTGCCTCCATCATCAGGGTGGTGAGTCATCTTCATTCTCGCCGCGTGAGAACTTGAAGCCTCGGTGAACACCGAACCAGGTCCAGTGACACGACGTTTCGTCAGAAGTTGACAGACAAGTGGGCAGGCGGGTGGTGGGATGAATAGATGGAAAGTTCGTTGCACACAGTGGATTACAGAAACTAACTTTCTGCTTTCGGCGTTTCTGCGTTGTAAGAAACATGCACGCATTTTCCTATTCCCCACATCGTACCCTACACGTGATGACCTGTTTGTCTGTCTCTGTCTTTTATCGATCTATTTGCTTCCCCATCCATGTTATTTCATTCCATCCATCTATCCATCGTCTTTGTGCAGCCTTCTGGATGGATGTCTCTTTTGATCAGCTTTATCCCTCGTCTTGGTCTTTTTTTTTCATTCTACGTATTTGGTGTGTTCTACTTTTGTAGAACTTTTCATTTCATCTTACACATGTTTCAGCCCTTTACACATCAGCTTCATTCTGACAGTGCCTTTTACTCTGCACCGTCTCACGAAGGGTTAAATATACTCCCATTTCATTCAGGTTCATATAGACCGCCGTAAAACAATGGCAGGCTAAGTATTTCTTTGCCAGTGAAACTCGGATGTACAACATCGCCCGACATTGGCGTGAATCTCACTCTGTTCGTTCATCTCTCATCTTCGTAACTGATTTTTAAAAGGGCCATCACAATTGTGTCCTCCAAAAGGTTTTCGAGTGAATATTCTGCTTTAATTTCTTGTTTCCACAGTTACATTTTACTCCCCTACGTAATATTACACGACCTTTTCAGGACGTCCAACCTCCTCCTTTGCCAGGGACAACATTTTTCCCGTTGGTCCCAAGGGCCACTGAACCCTTCCTGGCATTATTTTTGAAAAATATTGTCCGGCTATCTTTATCTTTAGAAATGCCGATTTACAAATAACTGATAACAACAGGATATTCCTAGATACAAATGTTATTGGAATGCGCACAACAGCTTGTATCTGGCAGATTTTTTTTATTTGGAAACTTACATTTTACGTTGGAGCGTTAAAGTCAATAGCATGTGTGGCACTGTTGCGTAAATCACGATTTATTCTTTAAATCCTTAGAGAAAATGAAATAAACGATCTGACTGTAACAAGTTTACAAATTAATTATTTGGTCTGGTTATAAGTGGTCTCGGGCCATTGTGGCCTGCGGGCATCCACTTTGAATACTCTGATCTTTTCAGACGACGGAGTTCCACGTTTTGTAATATTCTAAACTGTCCATTTCTTACCTCGGACCTCGTGGTCTAAGGACTTCGGTTTCCGTTAGAAAGGTCTCGTTTCCTAAACCGGCTGGATCCACTGAGGATTCTTCATTGTGCCTTCCCTCTTAGCCTCCTTCGTCCGGAGCCCACGCTAAGCTGCTGGTATCATCATCCGGCCTTCATTTTACCGCAGGGAATAAGATGAAAATCGCACTGGTTCCTCCCATAATACGCGCGGTTTTCTACCTATCCTAACGGCATAGTTCAGGATGGCTACGACTTAACATGCGTAGTTTGTGTTCGATTCGCAAGGTGGGAGACAGTTTGCCTCGTTCATACAAGACGTCTGGCAGAATTATCGATTTCTACTGTTCTTGCAAGTAGATGGAATTGCTACATATTTGCAGAATGTTTTCTTTGACGTATTGTGCAACGTTAAATACCCAAAGGCATGCAAGAAATTGAACAGCTTTGAAGGTACGGGTCTCAGCGCTGCATGTGTGATGCATATTCTTTCCTGTCAGTCAAAATGAAGTTGCTATATTTTGATTTTGATTATCAGCTTACTTTCTGTGTCACTAAACTTGTATTCGGCGGTATCTGCTTCGAACATCGGTCTAGATACCGGTCACCCTAACATTCATCGTGGTTTTCCTCAGTCTCCAGGTGGATGAAATAAGCCAGAAGCATTCATACAGTTGTTATCTGTTGATCGTTAATTATCACCTTCCCATGGAATCGACGGTATATAATCTCTGTAGTTGATACGGCGCTGTTAAATAATCAAAGAGTAAATGATATAATATTCTTTAATAATAGCCTTTGGTATTATTCAGTAGATAATTGATTCAGACTAAAAAGAAATTCTTCTTTAAGCAGTTAATATGAAGAAAGTGTTTTACTGAATTTGTTTCTAATCGTTTTAACGACGATGTGTCAAGTGGTATGGCCACTTAGGAAATAAGATCACATTACGAAAGTCCTTTTTGGCGGACTGCAGTCGTCATGAGTTTGGGAGGAACCCATCGTGGCATAATTTTACACGCGTTCCAAACATGTCTGTAATAGTTGAGGAAAATCACGAAGAACCTGCCGGGATACTGACGATACGCATGTCCTTTTGATTGTTTGGCTGCTCTTTATCAGCTGGTGAGGTTATTGACAGACAAGGCTCTCATAGACATTCAGAACGTGGCGACGAACGAAAACTCAATTTCTTGTTTGGAATCAAGTGCGGTCGTCAAGTTACTCTACAAGCTGATATATTCCGGTTCATGGTGAAGTAGTATGTCGGCAGCCGGCATTGAAGGTTCCCACACTAAACACAGAAGCAGAAGTAAGTGGAATTAGCAGGAGAGTGTGAAATCGTGGACCTCAAAGCAAAAACAAGGGACGATGTGTTAGTTTGTTCGAATTTGACGTTGCGTCTTTGCGTGTCCTGCCGTCTTCTCCGTGGCTATGAAGCTCCCCCAGCAACCT